AATTTAATGTGCACTATTTCTGGCAGTCTGCAAAGGCCCTGAGTGACCCTTCATGCATGCTGCTGCTGTTCTGCGCCTTCAAGTCATTTCCAATTTATGGTGACTCTATTATAGGGTCTTCTTGGCAAGAGTTGTTCAGAAGAGGGTTACCTTCGCCTTCCTTTGAGACTGATACAGTGTCACTTGCCCAAGGTCACCCAGTGAGTTTCCATGGCTGAGCTGTGATTCGAACCATGGTCTCCAGAATCATAGTCCAACACTGAAACCAATGCTGGAGCTCTCTCCCCTTCTCTATTGAAATAATTACTTACATTATAGTAAAGAAGCATTTTGAACATTCAAAAGCAGTGTGTAAGTACAGATATTATTAAGATGACAGGGATGATATTTAAATGTTAGCCACACTGCAATTCATTGTAATTTTCTCAGTAAGCATCCAAAGTATTAGTGGGACTGTGACAGGATTTCACAATGCTTGCTGTCATAATTTCTCAGGAAGCTTTCTTTTGTTTCTGTCACAAGAGTGCTCCTTTTCTGCTGCAGTGTTTCCTTCCATATAGGTCCTTAGGACTTGTAGTAGGGAGGTACTTCCTCTAATGCAAGAGAAACGGTTTCAGAGCCTGGTGAACTTTCTCTGTCCTTCTAAAGTGTTTCAAGGTACTGTATTTCATTTCATCCCTTTTGCATTAGCTGTCCCATGAAATATAGGAACAAGAATGTATTTCTGTGCAACTTTAACTGTATGTTAAAGTTACACAGACAGACATTCTAGAGCCTAGTACAAAAGGGATGGAATGAAATATGGTACCTTGTATTTTGGTCACTTCTTTATGGTTTAACTTTAACGTATGGTTAAAGTATTGCCCTTTGCAGACTGCCAGAAATAATGCAGCTTGAGTCCACTTTAACTGTCCTGGCTCAGTGCCAGGGAAGCATGGGAACTGTAGTTTATTGTGGCACCAGAGCTCTCTGATAGAGAAGACTCAATGTCTCAGAAAAAAAATTATAGTTCCCATGATTCCCTAGCACTGAGCCAGGGCAGTTAAAGTGGACTCAGGCTGCATTATTTTTGGCAGTCTGCAAAGGCCCTATGTTGACTATTCAAGTTTTAAGAACTTCAAGGGAGGCCTTTCTGTTTGGCCCGCCACCTACATAGGGAGATGTGGTGATGACACACAGGAGAGAGCCTTCTTGGTGGCTGCTCCCAGGTTGGGAATTCCCTCTCTTTGGAAATTCAGTCGGTCCCCATTATGTTCTCTTTCCACAGGCAGGTAAAGGCCTTTTTATTTAGGGAGCCCTCTGATTCTTCATTCATTGTAGTGGAAAATCTCTTAATGGAGTGTATCATACTTTTATCTTTTCTTCTATGATTTAAATATGTTTTAAATTGTTTTAGCTTAGGGGGCTTTGCAGACTGCCAGAAATAGTGCAAATTGAGTCCACTTTTAGGGTTAGGGTTAGTGCTAGGGAATCATGGGAACTGTATTTTGTTGTGGCACCAGAGCTCTCTGACAGAGAAGGTTCAATGTCTCAGAAAAAAACCAATTCCCATGATCCCCTAGCACTAGCCCTAACCCTAAAAGTGGACTCAATTTGCACTATTTCTGGCAGTCTGCAACCCCCCTTAGTCTTTTTAATAGAAATGTTTATTTAATTTTAAAATGCATCCATATTAATAAGATTTCAGGTGTACTTAGCTTCAATTTGTTGTAACCTGCCTTGGGTCCTATGCTGGGAAAAAGGCAGGATATAAATTAAATAAATAATAAATGCAAAATAATTGCAGTTCTGTTGAACTACAACAACCCCAGATCCCCCAGGCAGTAGTCCTAGATTTAAGCTATGTTTTAGATGGAGTTGAAGATACTGTTGTGTTGCTGGCTGGAAGCACACAGTATCCTTTCTTCGGAGCTTAAAGTATTTTCAAAGTGGGGTGGCTGTTTGCAGTGTATATATAATGACCTCACTTTTATCTGTGTTGAAATAGCTTTTTGTATTGCTTCAGAAGCCTGACAAATGCATTTGACCAGTGGGGAAAGCAGGACAATAGAAAGGTGACGCCATGCTGGAAAATGAAGTTTCCCACAAGATATTTAAGCTTAGGGCGAACCTGTCATAGGATTTTCTGGGGCTGAGAATGTTATTCTGACATTGTCATACATCAGCACTAGCAGAGTCCTCCATCAACCCAAGTTTCAAAACCTTTTGTTTTTGGTCTACAGGTCCCAGAATCCTTCAGCCAGTGTGGCCACTTGGATATGTAGTGTGAAAATGGAAATTTTTGCATGCTCTGGCCACAACTGAGTTTAGTTTATGGGTGGCAGCACACACTCCCTGATGCACTCAGCTCTGTTCTCTCTTGCCACTGCTCCACGCCTACTCCCAAGTATCTGCCACCTGAGGTGGCTGCATCACTGTGCTTAATGGCAAGTCCAGCCTGATTAACAGCAATGGAATTAAGATCCTCATCAAGACTGCCTTGGGGAAAGAAGGAGGCTTAAACTTCCCTCAGTCTCTGAACAAGACAGGATTGTTGCTTCTGTGCCACTAGTGACAATAGGGAAGCAGAGTTCCCTTTAGGGTTGTTGGCATAATCCCCAATTATCCCTTCCTTGTATGTGTGTACCCATGTCTCTTTGTGCATGCCTGTGCATACAGAACTAGTAGAAATAATGCAACCTTTCAAACATTGTTAGACTAGAACTCCAGCATTCTTCACCATTGGCTATGTTGACTAGGACTGCTGGACACTGTGATGTAAGGACATCTGGATGGATACATGATTTCCAACCCAATATGTGTATACAGAGAGAC